GATCAGGTACAACATTGAATAAGATTGGAACTAGTTACGCAATATATGTTGATGATCAATCAAATATCTATATTTCGGAATATTCAAATCACAGAGTGACTCTGTGGTTTAATGGTAATACGACAGCTGGTATTATAGTATGTATTACTAAGTGACGATAGGTTATCATTGTTAATCGAGCTGCATGATTTAGGTAGCTGGAAATAATACTGCTGGAAATACATTGTACCAACTTAGGAACCCATGGGGAGTGTTTGTCGATTCAATGTATGGTATATATGTTGTTGATCGAGGCAATCATCGCGTTCAGTTTTGGGAACAATGTAAGTTTTATCAATTTGGAGCTTTTCTTTTTAATAGGTTTGCCTATATTACAGATGGTGTTGTTGGTGTAATTGTTGCAGGCCAGTCAGGTGTCGCTGGTGCATGGTCAAATCAATTTAGTTCACCAACAGGAATCACACTCGATCAGTTTGGAAATCTCTATATATTGGATTCGGGCAACGATCGAATTCAACAATGGGCTTCTGGAGCAACATTTGGTGTAACAGTTGCATCAGTTTCCATGAGTACTCCAAAAGGAATGTCTTTCGATCCATTCGGAAATTTGGTAGTTGCAGATTCTGGAAACCATCGAGTTCTTTTATTTTCAATTATTTGTCGTAAGTTGGATTATGTTATGATTTTTAGCACATGATACTAAAAAGGGAAATATTTACTTTCCGAATATCTGAAGATCAGATTAATCTTTCTAACTGTATTGTTGACCAGAAAAATTGTTTCATTTTTTGATAAATGTATTTTCTGAGAGATATGACATGAGCTGTGATGTTTTTTCTGTTGTAGAATGACTTTCGGTCACCAGATGTAAAACCAGCTGTATTAGAAGTTTAGGCAAAGACGATTTCGCTGTTATTTAGTATTGAGTTGAACGACATTTTCTCATTGATGTTTTACTGATGTTAGAATGCATCCCATTTTATATATTAGCATAAAGCTGTCTGTGCCTCATTATAGAACACATCATGTTTGTATTGGTATCTAATTTTACATTGAAACATTCAGAAAGCGAATTAAAATGGTTTTCAAGGATGTACATCTCAACAGGGAATGAATATAAAAATGATTTTTTTCTGTTATCTAGTCTGCTGAGAACACGTTCTATAGGTAGTATTTGTAATCCATAAGATGATCGTGAATCAGATAATTGTGTGTTTGCTTTAAAGCACGGGAAAAAACTATGGGTGACGGACATTTCGCACCAAGTCATTCCGAACCCCGGTCATGTGTCCGGGTGTTCGGAAATTACTTTTTGCCGTAACAAATATTCGACGGGAGTTCGTAATCCTTTTTGA